AAAAAAAAATGACGGATGTTGAGATGCTGTCCTTCATCAATATTTATGACAAAAGAAATGTTTTTTAAAAAGAAAGTAGGGTATTTCATTAATCGATAGCTAGTAGGTGCCCACTAAGTTGTCACAACATATTCATTATTAAGAAGATTTAAAAAGATAGACGTATTCACTGCCTTTCTCTGGTTTATAAATAGGTTATTTGAGAAGAAACGGATTTCATGATAGGGTTGTAAATTATCAGGAATGGAATACTAAGAAAAGATCAAAGTAGCCTATAAGGGATGATTCCACAAAAGCAGAAGGTTGAATAAGACTTTTCAAGTTCCATACAGCATCATGTATTGCTTATTATACAAAAATGGGGGAAGGATAGATAGTAGGGAGAAGAGAAAATCTGAATATTTTATTATCCTAGACTGTTGCTCTCGAATTGAAATATTACATTTGACAAAGTTGAAATGAACATTTTTATATAGATGGAAGTTGAAAAAAAAAAAACCCATGGAGAAATATACAGACACTGTGAAACAGTTTGTAGGTCCCTGAGGGGCATGAAGAGAAATTTACAGAATCACAGAGCACAATGTGTTATTTAGCTACTCCAGACATCACACAGCATCTGTTCAGTGGATGAAGCAAAGGGCAGAGAGTAACGGTCCATTTCTATTTCTGGCATTGATTGCTCTGGGACCCGGAGGAACAGAGCGTCACCTTTTGTCACTCAAGTTACAGAAAAGACATATGTTAAGAAAAAACAATGCATTTTTACATCAGTTCTGACATCTATAAACCATTTGCACACTTTCAAAATCAAGGCTGTGTGAAAGCAAGGAATGCTATTCTCCCTCTCCATGATTTACAGAACTAATGAAGAATTGCAATGGCCAGCAACCCACCAGATTCCTATTGGAATATTCTTGTTTGCTTTACATCTCTCCTCATCCTGGAGCTCATTGTGTTTATTTCTAAGCAATGTCCTTTTCATCCACTTTTGCTTTGTACTTAATTTAAATGAAAAAGCAGCTCTAGGCCGAATCATTATTTAAATTGCTGTCTCCATACTCTCCTTTGGAAATTGAGGCATCCGTATATGTAAGGCTGCAGTTAGGTAAAAAGCTAAGTTACATGCTAAAATCTGGGGCCCCAGCTATAGGGCACGAATTACATAAAGTTCATTGTCTTCATTTGTATCCTTCACAAGTTATCCTTTGCTAGCTTTGAGTGCGATGCTAACTATATTTGACTCATATTCTTACCTTCATTCTTTAGGAAAATGTAAGTGAGGAATTTGAAGATCAAGTTTGTAGATAAAAATACACTTACCTCTCTCTTACAGCTTGATGCACAATATGGAAAATAATACTTTTTCTATCTACTGTAATTATACATGAATTATCACAGCAAATTCTCAAATAAAGGCAAACCCAAAAAAGAGTTCACACCTTATAGAAGAAAACATTCTCTTCTATTACCTAATGCCCGATTTTCAGGAAATTAGATGAGTTCATATTATTTAATGTAATCTATTATCCTAACCTTCCAGGGAATTGACCTCAGTAAGTATAATGTTCTCACATCAAATTACAGGCATATTTATTTTGCATATGTAAGTATAAATATATATATAATGATGCACACATAAACACATACATCATGCACACACACACACATCCTTTTTTTGATTTTGAAGAATGATATAAAAATCAGAGCCCTAGAACATAAAATGGAGATGAAGGATTATTTGCAAACACTTGGCTCTTTTACATATTGAGCCCAACACAAGGCATGTACTCTTCATGGATATTAGCATGTTATCAAATTCTACTGGGGGAAATAAATGGATTTTTAAAACATGCCTGCGTTGCAAGTGCTCTCTTTCAAACCAATTCCTGCAGATACCATACCTTCCGGAGGGGTTTGAGCTTAGTCTCCATTATGAAGTCATACTTGCAGAGCTCACAGCAGCGCGTATCTGAGCTCTTGATCCACTGGTGGAGGCAGGACTGGTGGACAAAGCGCAGGGTGCCCGTGCAGCGACAGGGTGTGATGAGGGGGCTCTCTTCATCCCCTTCACAGTGACAGATCCTGGGGAAGGACACAGCAGTCAGGATGAGATCTCCCAGAGGACATTTCTCACCTGTAGATTTCCTTCCTGGCTCATACCAGACTGCATTAGAAACGGCAACCTGAGAATTAGGAAGCGTGCACATTTCGCTCCAACTTGATCTGGAACTGAATCTAGGCTCAGTATAATTTTCTTCCACTTGCTACTGACATTCATGTAATTAGCTGTTAGACACTGGTACCTCAAAAATGTACTATCATTTCATTCCTATACTAATGCGATTTTAACAGCACAACTATTGAGCCATATCCCCAGCTTAATCTATTTACTAGGTCAGTGCCTATAAGCATAAGCTTGATTTCATATACAAAAGTTGCGATTTATAGGCATTGTAAGGAGTGTTTGAATCTGATAACGTTATTGTTTTATTGTGATGACAGTTTTATAGAAGCATGGTGTATAATTTAGTATCCATGGTATCCTACCAATGTGGAAGAATTATGAAAAATTTTAACATGTTCTCTAACAAGAATAAAGTGAATATTGAAAATTTCAAGTTGGAAATACTACATTTTCCTAGGAAGACGCACACATATTTGGTCACAACGAATGGCCCAAACTGTCAATAATCATCATGGTTTAAAAGTTACAAAGATAACTGATTTCATAAAGTTGTTCAAGTACAGTAAATTCTATTGTTTTAAAATGTTAATTATTACCTCTTCCAAGGAATTCAGAGTTCAACTACTTTACTGAATTACTATGAATTCAAATGTCATAGATTCACAGTCTATGAAATCTTCATTATTCTCATTTACAAATTTTAAGAAAGAATTTGCTTTCCTCGTTAGATAAGATTTTCATATCTCAAGATAATGAATTTAAATCTTAGCACTTCAGTAATTCTTGTGATTTACCCAGCTGTTAGAAGTTGTTAATAAATTTGACTGGAAATATTTTTTGAAATCTTGAAAAAGTATGAACGGCGTATTTCAAAAAAAAATATCTGTAAAAGTTTCTTTTTTGAGTTGAGTTGTAGCCGCAGGCTTAAAGAACGTTTGAATTGTTGCTCTTTCCTTTTAGGTCTATATGCCCTATCCTCCAGAAGCATGAGTTTTAAATAATGGATTTTTAAAACATATTTATCTATCTTAGCTGTCTCCTCAGGGGAAATGAAATGCTCTAATTGTTACTGCAGTAAGATACAGGAATTGAAACCAAGCCCTTCCCTAACCTCAAAATAAAGAAGTATGACACAGTACACCAATATTTTGAATCTCTTTTTCTTAAGTAAAAATAATATAATCAGAAAGGAGCACTGACTTCTAAAGTCTTTAGGGTGTATATGATGAGATGAGAGCACAGGGAAGTTCAAAAGCAGAGTCTTTCTTCCCCTCTGGACTGAGGTAGGAAGTAGTAGTGCTGGATGTGGGACCACATATAAAAGGCTGGCGTGGTGGGAAAAAACTAAAAATTATCTGAATTCTATTGTTCATATTCTATTCTATTCATATTCTAATATGGAAGTCTGGAGTATCTCCCATTGCCAAATGTGTAGGTCCTAGGAATCCCGGCTTAGTGTACTTTGTATCACACTTGTTACCAATAGAGAATTGGACTCCTGATAGATGTTCAGTAGATGTTTGTTGAATAAAAGAATTGTTTCATCAACAAACTATGACTTATTATAAGAGCAACCAGTGAAAGCAAATCTGGGTTTCTGTAGCACTTCATTTGGTTGTAATATTTATTTTTGGAGCCATTGAAACCTTATGATTTATATGGCCTGAGGGGTTGATATTTCTTATGTCCTTGAATCTCTAATCTCTCTGCCTCTACACAAAGAATACTCCTTTAGGTGAGGAGTCAGCAAACTATGGCCCAATTCTTACTGTGGCATGTTTTCGTAAATAACGTTTTATTGAAACACCCCCACGCACATTTGTTTATGTATTGTTTAGAGCTGTGTTTGCACTGTAACTGCAGAATTGAGAATTGCTGCAAAGACCATATGGTCACAGAGACTAACATATTTACTACCTGACTCTTTACAGGAAATATTTGCTTACCCTTGCCTTAAATATGGTGATTCTGGGGCGCCTGGGTAGCTTAGTCAGTTAAGTGTCCGACTCTTGGTTTCGGCTGGGGGCATAATCTCAGAGTCATGGGGTTGGCCCCATGGGGTTGGGAGTCTGCTTGTGATTCTCCCTCTCCCTCTGTCCCTGCCCCCCACCACTCCCCTCACATGTGAGTGCGCCTCCCCCTCAAATAAAGAAATAAATCTTAAAAGAAATGGTGATTCTGAGTTAAAGACAATATATGACTATTACCAACAACAATAAAACAAAAGTTACACAGAGAAGTGCACCATAAAAACAAAAGTCCTTCCTGGCCTGTCATTGAAACCTGCTGATCCATGAACAGTCTGCCAGGAGAGTGGCAATACTCCTCATTTGAAAAAGAAAAAGTTGCAATTAATGCCATCTGATAATTATTACTAAAAAAAAGATCACATCAAATGCTACACAGCTTCCAAGATGATTCTGAGGCTCTGATTTTTTTTTTTTTACTGACATGAAAAAAGTAATTTATTCATAAGCAGATTTAAACAAAGACCTTGTTGATTACTGGGTTCAACCTGACCTGAACAGTTTACTGATTGTAGTCCAACTTCCTATGTCTTACAGATTCATTTTTAAAAAATTTATGCTAAAACTGTTACCTGAAACACCACCAGCAATTTCATTTCTTCATAAAATTACGGTTATTTCCCAAAGGGAAAATCAAAAGCTTGGTTCATTTTCATTCCCATTTCACAAGATTTATTTTTACATGATTTTAGCATTTTGAATTTTTTCTAAATTATCCAACTTGAGTTGGACCCCAAGAGTCTTTTTCAAATCGTGTTGAGATTGTTCTACATGAACTTAAGAGCTAAATATCAACTTCAAATATCTACTAGAAATAAAAAATAATGTGATGCCATTATGAAGAGAATTAAACAATTCTTAAGCTGATATATTTCACACTAACCACAATTGCTAAATGATAAATGAAAACACAGTAATAAAAAATATACATTTTTTCCCAACAGAATAATTGTGTAGAGAAAATGATTTTAATAATAAAATTGCATTGTAAAATATCTGTAATTTCAATGCATTTTTACCTTATGGGAAATTGAGGCTTGGGAACTGAGTGATTCTATAAAATTATTGGTGATTGACATCAGGTGTCTGTCACCTGACAAGAACAAGCTGAATTCACGAATTTTTTGGCATTTTACTCTTTTAACTGGCTGCTTATAGTCTAATCAATATGTATTGAGACTTTCACCATTTATGAATTAAATAAACTTCTACTTCCATATAACTTCAAGCTTTCTAGTGAAAAGTGAAAAGCAGGCCACCAAATAGTATTAGACAAATTAAATTCTGGAAATTCTGTGTGTGTGTGTATGTGTGTGCATGTGCACACACACTTAAAGTCCTTTCCTTAATGTTTGAGTTTTAACAAAAGTAGGTTTTTGTTTGGTTTGGTTTTGGACTTATGTATCTTAAAATGATCTCCACCGCTCCCCACCCCCTCCCTTGTCAAGGCTTCTTGGCTCTGGTAGAATATATTTTTCTACATAAGTTTTTTTTTCTTTTAGTAATTTATCACTAGAAAGAAATCTTTGTGAGGGTCATAGTGATTATGTAATTTGGGGATTTTTATTCATTCATTTATTCACATTTTCTTAGTCCTTGTTATTGCAAAGAAAATCAGACAACAGCATCAGCATGTAGTGTGAATTGAGAAAGAGAGAACAGAATCTGGAAGCAGACACCCCTTTTGGACAACTATTACAATCATCCAGATATTAAGAATCTGAAACAATATTGTGATGCTGGGGAGGAGACGGGAGACCCTCAGTCTGCAGAATGCATAGAGATGTGCAGGGCCTTGCTTGGTTTCCATGTTAGCTGTGGCAACAAAGTCCACTTATGATATGTAACTCCTAAAGGCAGTCATCCCTATAATTTTCAGGCAGCCTCTTAACTCTTTCTTCCCATATTCCATGCCATTTTCCCCCTTTCCTTTCCTTTCCCAATGTGGGGCTTGAACTCACAATCCTGAGATCAACAGTCGCACACTCTATTGACTGAGCTAGTCAGGCGCCCCATTTTTTCCCCTTTTCTTTTGGCAAATCTTTCTGATCTATTTCCTCACTTTTGTGCCTGCATTTTTCTCCATACCCATCTCCAACTAAATAACCTTTAAGCACAATAATTATGGATACAGCTATGTTTGTGATGGCTTAATTTGGATGTTAATCTTTACTCAAAACTAATTCTCGTGCTGCGGAGTTTGGCATTCATTCTTAGAATTCACTTTCCTAACCTAAAAATGATTAGAATCCATGTGGGATTAACATAACAATAAAAAATTAAAAAAAAAAAAAGAATCCATGTGAGTGGAAGCCATACTGAAAGTGGATGAGAAGTTAATGCTCAAGTAAATGAGTGAACAGATATAATTTCTCTTTCTTTTTGAGAAATAATAGCATAGCAGTGAAAGAATAGCAGATTAGAGACAATTTTATTTTTAATTTCCATTTCATTTTATTTTTAACCGGGAAAAGCTGGACTTGTTCATAAGCAGAACTATAGGTGCCACAGAGAGGTGAATTTAAAAAATAAACAGGCGAGAGAATGCCCCACTGTTAAATGAAGGCTCTTGAGAAATCAAGAAAGTATGAGGAAAGGAACTCAGCAGAGGAGTATTTTTGGACAGGTGGAAAAATACATGGGAGGTAAACAGACGCTTTTTTCCTGTGAGCAAGATGTAGAGGGAAAAGGATAAGTGAAGGAGACAGAAGAATTGCAGTAGCTGGGTCTGGGGAGGGGTCTTCCTGTCTTGCGAAATACAGCAGACCGTGTGTCTGCTCCACAGAAGGCAGGGAGGCATGGGGTTAAGGTATTGGAGAGGCTGTCAGTAATTGGCAAAAGCCACTTGGAACATGTGATGGGAAATTATC